AGTGGTTAAATGCACAAATTAATCCCATTTACAAATATACTATTCAATTGGTTATTGGGTAAAAATTCATCTAAATTAGAACGATAAATATGAACATAAAAAATCTTGGTTGCAAAGAAATTAACCTTATCATTTTTAATCATTAACATAAAAAAGTATTGTAGTTGTCAGAAATATAGGTATAATGATTAATTTTTAGAACTTAAACAATGTTGGAAAGTCTATTAAAGTAACTACAAAAGTGAAACCTTTAATTATGTTTGTTACTAGGTGTAAGATCCATTTATTACATGGATTAATTAAAAAAATTAAATATAAATGTCTAAATATTTCAAAATCTGGATTTATAAGAAAATAAGAAAAATAATGAATTATTAAAATTGAATTTTTATCTTTTAAATTTAAATAAATAAACAAAATAAACTAATGAGCTTTAATTTGGTTATTATTAAATAAGAAGATAAGCCCATTAATGAAATTGATATTCATTTATTACTACATTTATTGTAATTATTACATTAAAGTATTATGTGGAATTTATTAAAATAGAAAAACTCATAAAATGACATATGCAAAAAAACTAATTCAAAATAACCACAAAATGAAATTTGGCAAATTGAATGAGAGTGTGACATGTGGCAAAAAAAACCTTCATTTATTATAGTAAATGAGGATATGGCGGCACGAGAGCATGCCACGTGGCAAACCGGGTTTACCAAGTCTCACGAACGACATGATGATGTGGCTCTACAACCTCTTCACACGTGGATCCATAGAAGTGGGACACGTGGCGATCTTCTAGAAGGTAGGATGTGGACCACCGAAATTTGGACAAGTGGTAGCAAAGCAATGTAAAAGCGCCAGCCTTGGGCGCGGCGTGCCTATGCTTAGGGGGCGACGCGCCTCGCCTATAGTCTTTGTATAGATGCCAAAAATCACTTCTTTTCTCACACATTTCAAACCAATCCTATCTAAATCTCTTCCCACTCTAGAGCCCGACTTTTACGAGCTTCTAACCACTCTAGGAAGGCTTTGAGATATCTAGGAGCCCGACGAGAAGCAGCTTTTAGGTCGGAGTTCTACCAACATAATTCCCGATATTTCTCTAGAAACTCAATAAGTTAAGCTACACTTATTATGCTTTAAGTGTAACTTACGTTTAAGTTCATTATCGTTATTTTGAACCTATAAAAAAGATTTATCAGTGATTCCATGTCATAATACTGATTTATCTACTTATGGGAGTGATGTCTAGGCTAGATCTAGTGAGGTGTTTAAAGCGGTATTTTCAAACAGTATACTCTGTATACTAAACGTACCCTACCTTCGATATGATCTTATCTAGTTATTCCTTATTTTATGGATCTCGATGTATTCGTTGAGGAATATGGGAAATTGTGTAAATACGAACAATTATTGAAGCGTAGTAACACTCATATTTAGGTTGTTAAAAAGGATAAGCTGAAGAGTTAGCAGAGGAGCTAGCTTTCCCGAGGATCTTCCACCTCAGTTAGGTAAGTACATGGTTACTTTTATGAACATGATTTTAATACAAGTATCTATTAAAAGTATTAGTATTTGTTGAAATTTTATATGTGAATTATATGCTAATTGATTGGAATATGTGCTCGTTGTATATTTGACGATTTAAGTTGTGCGAACCATATATGGTTCTATATGTGTTAAGATGTATATGTATAATATTAATACATGATAATAATAAGAATAATAATAATAATAAAAGTATTATTACCAAGAAGATAAAATACATAATAATCTATGTAAAATATATACACTAAATTAGAATAGTGTTGGCCAAATTATTCTAGTCGATCAAACAATAGTAAATAAGTAAAAGCTAATGCAACAACGCAATGATGTACGAGGAAAGACCTTAATCATTTTGGATCTCCGACATAAATCTAGGGAGGTAATGAAATCACATTCCTTGAACTTATATTAATTGAAATAAAATTACAAGTGGTAGCTGATTGTGTAGTAGGGGTGTAAAAGTGCTCCATTGTCGAGAGAATCGGAGTGAGAGTAGAAATGAGAATGTTTGTGTGAATGATGATCATTTTATACACCTATAATAACAATTAATCCGATATTTTAAGGATCTTCCTTTCTCCATGCTTGACCCAGTTTTCTAGATGGTATTCAATGTTCACAAGGCTTTGAACACGTGCTATTGACATGGTCTAATTTTTTTCAAGTCACTCACGTGGTACTTGAATGAAAAATTACAAGAAAATGAAGGTAGTCCAAGATACCAACTAAATCCAAGAGTTTGGGCTTACCCGGGAAGTTAGCATAAATCAATAACAAGAAATATTATAGATCATGTCACTTTAACAATAAGAAACATAAAATCGGTAGTTGTATGTCATATATTTAATTACAATCTCTAACTTTGATATCATTCTATTGTTACAGTTGCAATATTTTTTATGGAAGTTAGCATTGATAGGTCCATGGTGACATAAATGGACTGTAAGTCTTCTATGTAAATTTTGGATGGTGATTTCTATCTAAAGCTTGGATAGTAACATTGAAAAAAAAAATATTTGTTGTACAGGTGGTTAAATGCACAAATTATTCCCATTTACAAATATACTATTCAATTGCTTATTGGGTAAAAATCCATCTAAATTAGAACGATAAATATGAACATAAAAAATCTTGGTTGCAAAGAAATTAACCTTATCATTTTAAATCATTAACATAAAAAAGTATTGTAGTTGTCAGAAATATAGGTATAATGATTAATTTTTAGAACTTAAACAATGTTGGAAAGTCTATTAAAGTAACTACAAAAGTGAAACCTTTAATTATGTTTGTTACTAGGTGTAAGACCCATTTATTACATGGATTAATTAAAAAAATTAAATATAAATGTCTAAATATTTCAAACTTTGGATTTATAAGAAAATAAGAAAAATAATGAATTATTAAAATTGATTTTTTATCTTTTAAATTTAAATAAATAAACAAAATAAACTAATGAGCTTTAATTTGGTTATTTTTAAATAAGAAGATAAGCCCATTAATGAAATTGATATTCATTTATTACTACATTTATTGTAATTATTACATTAAAGTATTATGTGGAATTTATTAAAATAGAAAAACTCATAAAATGACATATGCAAAAAAACTAATTCAAAATAACCACAAAATGACATTTGGCAAATTGAATGAGAGTGTGACATGTGGCAAAAAAAACCTTCATTTATTATAGTAGATGTGTATGTCAACTTGCAAGGGTACTACTCAGCAGGGTTAATTAGGAAATGATAGAAGAAAAGACGGTTACCATCACTACTAGAAAACTAAGTAATTACCTACAGCAAAATTGGTAGGAAATCCGTAGGAACAAGGCGGTACCTACAGATTACCTAAAAAAAGGGTTGTAGGAAAAACCCTCGTGGGTAATTTTTTCCTACAGAATACCTACAAACTGATTTTCCTACAGAATACCTACAAACTGATTTTCCTACAGAATAGCTACCAACTACTTTTCCTACAGAATACCTACCAACATCTTTTCCTACGGAATACCTACCAGCAGCTTTTGCTACAGATTACCTACAGACTTTATTGAATTTTATTTCCTACAGAATACCTACATAATATTTATTTCCTACAAATTTTCTATGATTTTCTTACCAATTTTTATTGCTATATTAAATTTATAATTCCTACAGAATATTTATTTCCTGTAATTCAGTCAAAAATCTATTGCTCTATTAAATTTATAATTTAAAAAATATCCAAATTTTCTGCTTAAAAAACCAAATAAATAATTAAAATAATAGTCAAATACCATCACATTCATTACCATTAAAATAGTCAATAACATACCATTCATACATTCAAATACTCAAAATGTCATTACAATATCATGACAAAAGCTAAGAACTAGTCAATAACATAACATTCATTAAGTGTTTTAAAACAAAAACTAAGAACTACTTGGTGGATTACCGGACGGTTTGATTTGTTTCATAAAGGCCGCCAATTGTCGTTGCACTTGCAATTCCATTTCATTTCGCATTTGTTGCATTTGGAAATTCATTTCACTTTGCTTTTCATCCATGGCTTGTTGCATGTTTGACACTTGTTGTCGCAACTCATTTACCTAAATATAGCAAGACAAACACATGCAGTTAGTAAATGTAATTCAACTTTAAACCATGATAGCAATGTACTTTACTTTTAATTCAATATAAAAACTCACTACTCATAATAACAATATACATTGTTTTTAATATCCATAATAGTAACTATTAATATGCATAATAATAACATACTGTATTTTTATCCATTATACCATTGTACTTTAGATTTCCAATCCATAATATCAATGTACTTAAATTATTATCAATAACAACAATTTACTTTACCTAATATCAATAATAGCAACATACTATAATTTTCACCCATTATAGCATTATGTTTTACCTAATTTAAAAATAGCAACATACTATCATTTTCAACCATAATAAAAATGCACTTTACATAATATTAATAATGGAAACATATTTCAATTTTCACCCGTAACAGCAATGTACCTTACCAATATCAACATATTTTTTTCAGCCATATTAGGTACCTCTTTACTTGATTTTTTTCTCTATAATATATTATGCAAATAATTGTACCTCCTCTTGTGACTTTGCAAAGTCAGCAGAAGCTGAAGTTGACTGATAAGAATATGCACTCGTCATCAGAAAGTGAAGATCTGAGTATCATGCCCCATAGATAGGACCTTTTTGTTTCCCGCCTTTCCTAAGCAATTGTGTTTGGGTCCACAATTGAGGATCATTTACATTATGTTGAGTTGGATCATCACCGTGTTTTTGAGATAGGGCTTTGTTATATGATTCCTACAATATACCAAAAGAACGCTTTGTCATTGTACTAAAAAGTAAAAACTAATATTAGTAAATATATAAAAAGATAAAGACAACTTACGATCGCCACCCTAGATGTCTCATTCACAAAATCCACCGGCGCCTCTTTATCTCCCCCAATATATATTTTCTTTGATTCGGCGGTAAGATAAGATGTGTCTTATAATAAAGATCAATGATTGAGGGGTCTTCACCCATCAACTCTTTCTATATAAACAACACAACATAATTGATGTAATTAGTGTTGAAAGAAAAATGTATCACTAAAATCTATAATTATGATTACTTACCAATTTAAGACGGTGCTCCTCAAATCCAATGCTACCACCCGTATGTCTGGCTGCCCCCCAGAATCAGTGTTACGTTTTTTTCCGCTTTTGGACAACTTTTTCCACTCATCCGTGTCCCATTTCTGTAATATATATATATATATATATATATATATATATATATATATATATATATATATATATATATATATATACAAAATAAAAAACAACAAAATAGGCAATAATGTATTAGATTTCTTACCCTACACAAACGTCGCCAAACATCTCTATGTATTTCCGCAGGATTGTAATTTGCAAGAATCCCAAAGTTAGCATTAATCTTTGCGATAACGTGCCCAGCTTTTCTTGCAGAATTTACCGATGCTTCCCTGGCATCCTTCATTCTACCCCTATAGTGATCTTTCAACGTATTCTCAAAACCTTCACGATTTCTTCCTTCTTCATTTGGATCCCACTGGTATTGAGTCTGTAAAACAATAAAAAGTAAAAGTTTAAAATGCAAAATAAGAATGAATGAGAAATAGATATTAAAAAATAAATAATTAATATATTACCCTGAAGCGCTCAAACATTTGAGTGACAACTTCCTTCGAAATTTTTCTATAAGTAATCCAAGGTTCAATTATAGACTGCCAAAATACGGATAATTATAACATCAACAATCATAAATATATAAAAAAAAAAGACTTACTTGTACCCCTTTCGTGTGATAAATGGCCTGTGAGATCCATTCGAATTTGCATCATTTGATCCACCATGTCTACCCGAATAATGGGGCGTCTGAACCATTGGTGACTCAGGCTCATGCACAGACTCATGCCCATGCTCAGGCTCATGTTCATGCTCAGGCCCATTATAGAAAAAATCACTAGGAGGCTCTTCATTGTTTCCTGTCATCTCATAACCATATGCAATACCATTCCCAACATTCTGTACCACTCATGTATCTGTTATAACATCAGTCAAGCCCATGTGGGTATTAATGGCATCCATGCTACTACTCCTTGAGAATCCCGACCTTGTCATCCTAACTGAAGTGCGTGAAAGGCCACTCGACAAAGGGATGCGTGGAATTCCATTAGGGTCGGGCGATGATACAAAAAAGGGTTTTGTTGAAGGGCACTAAGGTCAGGAGATGACCTGCCTCCCGATATAGAACCGCCCATAAAAATGTTACGTGGAAGGCAAGTAGGATCGAGCAAAGGCGATAACCTGGCTCCTGATACAAAACCACTGCGTGGACGACCACTAGGGTCAGACAAAGGTGATGACCTATCTCCTGGTACAGAACCACCTATAAGAAGGATGCATGGAAGGCCACTAGGGTCAGGCAACGTGGATGGCCTACCACCCGATGGAGGACTAACCGGAAAAAGGTTACGTGCTAGGCCTTTATCAGACATGTTGCATTTATAGAACAAAAATAGTCAGATATATTAGATGATAATGAAAAATAACAAATAGACTAGCATATGCATACCATATTATAAATGAAAAATAAAATGTGATAACAAAAATATTAAGCTGTATATACCATATTAACATAAAACAAAGTTCCTAACATTCGTCCTCATCTGGATCAGAATAGTCAAAATAAACTGGTTCGTCTCTATCCTCTTCATCGGTATCATCTTCTTGATTTTCCGCTTCAGAACCCTCACTCTCATCGGAAGATATTTGCTCAAAGTTAGTTATATTTGAGGCTAGGCTCAAACGTTCACTAAGATTTACTTCATTCGGTAACTCAAACCGCTCATCAAGATGAAAGAATCCAATTCATTCTGTATTTCCATCAAGCGCAACTTCCGCTTCAGCTTCGGTGACTTCAAATACCCCTCTTGGTTTTCTCTTGACAACCGCCCAAAGATCTTTTGTTTCCTTTGTCACCGCAGGATATAGTGTATAAAATACTTGTTCCGCTTGTGATGCCAAACAAAAAGGGTCGTAAGTTTGAATACGAGACTTAGGTTTAACATCAACCAATTTATTACCAACGTTGGCTTTATAGTACTTGTTTCAGTTTACATGTATGGAAAGCAAAGCTGACAAAGACACTTGAAATCACAGAAACTGAAATTGATTCTCTTGAGTATGAATTGAAGTCTTGTGAAATGTGAGCAAACTGAAATCGACATACATACCTGGGGTGTTGCCGATGGTGGTGTGGGGCAGCAACGGTGGTGGTACGGGGCAGCATCGGCGGTGGTGTGTGACAGCGATGGTTGGTGGGAAAACGTGCAACCGTTTGGTCAATGTGGGTCGCCGATCGATCGTTTGGAAATCACAGAAGTCGAATTGATTACATGAAAATGTTGCAGATGTACGTATCAGTTGAGAATCACCGGCGGATGTGTGCTGCAGCAGGGTTCGGAAATCGCCGGTGTAAGCTAAGGTTTTGTTTAAGTAAATTTGATCAACGAGCTAGCTTGAAGCGGGAATTTGGGTTTTAGGAGGCGTAGCAATTCTGTAGGTATAAGAAATCGTAGGAATTTTGTAGGTATCAACAAATTGGAAAATTGATTTATTATATTATAATTAAATATAATTTGAAAATTATCAGATATGTTTTTTTTTCAATATAATTAATATAGTGTATAAATATTCTATTTTTGTTAAATGAAATATTTTACCCTTTTGATTCATTATAAAAATATAACTTAAATCGAGTAATTGAAAATAATCCCATTGATATAGTATTTACTAAAATTTAAATTTATTAAACTTTTATATTTTCTATAAAAATTTGTGAATATATAAAACAAATCACATTTAATTTGAAAAACATAATTGCTTTGTTTACACCAAGTTATACATAACATAAACTTACATATAAACGTATAACTCAGTGAAAACAAAACGATCAAAGTATAATCACCCTCAAAAAATTGAATTTTCCACTATGTTCCTATACGTAAAATTCGGTGAGTTTTTGGGGCGCTGCCCAAACCCCGCGGGGGCGTTGCCCCTCGACCCCGCCCACTTACGTGGCCAGGGGCTCTGCATATGGTTTGTATGTAATTTATGTACGTACTTGTATTTGTGTATAGAAAGTAATTTTCATCTATATTTTATAAAAAAATAATAATAAAGTTGTAAATGAGTAATGGGTTCTAGCGATGCATACTTTTATATGTAAGTTTATATTATATAAATTGGTGAAACCAAAGCATTTAAAATATAATGATGTTGTGAAAAAAAAATGAAATTAAAAAATAATATTTTCCCTTAAAAATTAGAAAGAAAAAAAAAGCCGTAGGTAATCCTTAGGTAAATACCTACGGATTACCTACAGATAAGGTTATTCGTAGGTAATCTGTACGTATTTACCTACGGATTACCTACGGTATTTTTTTATTTTATATTTTTCAAGGGTCAAATTTTGTTTTTTTTGTTTCATTTTTTTCACAACATCATTATACATTGATTGGTTTGTTTTCACAAACTAAAATATCATATAAACATATGTACAAGAATGTGCATCATTAGAACCCATTACTATATATGATACAAATAGTTATTTATGTTTGTTCTTGAGCCACAATTAACCTCATTAAACAAATACGTGATATAGTGAATATAATATATACATATGATTTGTATGTAAATGTGTGTATTTGTTTATAGAAAATAACATTTTATTTATATTATATAAAAATAATAATAAAGTTGTAAATGAGTATTGGGTTCTAGCGATGCATACTTTTGCATGTAAGTTTATGTTATGTACAAGTTGGTGAAACCAAAACATTTAAAGTATAAAGATGTTGTGAAAAAAAATGAAACTGAAAAAACAATATTTGCCATTAAAAAGTAGAAAATAAAAAAAACCGTAGGTAATCCGTAGGTAAATACCTACGGATTACCTACAGATAAAGGTTATGCGTAGGTATTTACCTACGGATTACCTACGGGTTTTTTTTTCTATTTTTTAAGGGTCAAATGTCATTTTTTTTGTTTCATTTTTTTCACAACATCATTATACATTGATTGCTTTGTTTTCACAAAGTTAAACATCATATAAACGTATGTACAAGAATGTGCATCATTAGAACCCATTACTATATATGATACAAAAAGCTATTTATGTTTGTTCTTAGCCACAATTAACCTCATTAAACAAATACGTGATATACTTAACGTAATACATTCATATGGTTTTATGTAAATGTGTGTACTTATTTGTATTTGTGTATAGAAAATAACTTTCATTTAATAATAAAGTTGTAAATGAATAATGGGTTCTAGGGATGCATACTTTTGTATGTAAGTTTATGTTATGTATAAGTTGGGAAACCAAAGCATTTAAAGTATAATGATGTTGTGAAAAAAAAAAAAAAAAACTGAAAAAAAAATATTTTCCCTTAAAATTAGAAAAAAAAACCGTAGGTAATCCGTAAGTATATACCTACGGTTTTTTTATTTTCTATTTTTCAAGGGTCAAATATCGTTTTTTTCGTTTCATTTTTTTTCACAACATCATTATACATTGATTGCTTTGTTTTCACAAAGTTAAACATCATATAAACACATGTACAAGAATGTGCATCATTAGAACCCATTACTATATATGATACAAAAAGCTATTTATGTTTGTTCTTGAGCCACAATTAACCTCATTAAATAAATACGTGATATACTGAACATAATACATACATATGATTTGTATGTAATGTGTGTATTTATTTGTATTAGTTTATAGAAAATAACTTTCATTTATATTATATAAAAAAAATAATAATGTTGTGAATGAGTAATGGGTTCTAGCGATACATACTTTTGTATGTAAGTTTATGTTATGTATAAGTTGGTGAAACCAAAACATTTAAAATATAATGATGTTGTGAAAAAAAATTGAAACTGAAAAAAACATTATTTGTCCTTAAAAATTAGAAAATAAAAAAAATCCGTGGTTAATCCGTAGGAAAATACCTACGGATTACCTATAGATAAAGGTTATCCGTAGGTATTTACCTACGGTTTTTTTTTTTTTTTTCAAGGGTCAAATGTCATTTTTTTTCGTTTTATTTTTTTCACAACATCATTATACATTGATTGCTTTGTTTTTCACAAAGTTAAACATCATATAAACGTATGTACAAGAATATGCATCCTTAGAACTCATTACTATATATGATACAAAAAGCTATTTATGTTTGTCCTTGAGCCACAATTCACCTCATTAAACAAATACGTGATATATTGAACATAATACTTACATATGATTTGTATGTAAATGTGTGTATTTATTTGTATTTGTTTATAGAAAATAACTTTCATTTATATTATATAAAAAAAAATAATAAAGTTGTAAATGAGTATTGGGTTTTAGCGGTGCATACTTTTGCATGTAAGTTTATGTTATGTATAAGTTGGTGAAACTATATCATTTAAAGTATAATGATGTTGTGAAAAAAAAATGAAACTGAAAAAACAATATTTGCCCTTAAAAATTAAAGAAAAAAAAAAGACGTAGGTAATCCGTAGGTAATACCTAGGGATTACCTACAGTTAAAGGTTATCCGTAGTTATTTACCAACGGATTACCTACGATTTTTTTTTGTTTTCTATTTTTTAAGGCTCAAATGTCGTTTTTTTTTTCGTTTCATTTTTTTCACAACATCATCATACATTGATTGCTTTGTTTTCACAAAGTTAAACATCATATAAACGTAAGTACAAGAATGTGCATCATTAGAACCCATTACTATATATGATACAAAAAGCTATTTATGTTTGTTCGTCAGCCACAATTAACCTCATTAAACAAATACGTGATATACTGAACATTATACATATATATGGTTTTATGTAAATGTGTGTACTTATTTGTATTTGTGTATAGAAAATAACTTTCATTTCTATTATATAAAAAAATAATAATAAAGTTGTAAATGAGT